AAGTTGTTTCATATATTACATTATACTAGTGTCGAATCGTGCATTACACGATGTTGTTATAATTTTGTAAGAGATTTTGTTGTAATGACTATTTATTTTAGAATATGCAAACATTTAGTTATATAGTGTCAATGTGAACAACTGGGTTTATCATATGGGCCAAAGTTCAACTATCGCTTCCACTCTCCTTTTGCAAATGCTAATAATATCTTGCTATTTAATAAACCAACTAGCTAAATGAAAATAAATCCCAAGACTCTTGAGCCGAGCAAGTAACATTAATCTAATTTGTAAAGTATGAAAGACATACATCTTTATGGGAGTAAGAGCTCGACGTGCCAATATCTACAAACCTCAGCCTAGTCTCCTTGATTTCGAACCGAAAAAATCAAATAGGCAAGGCATCAATGAAACCAATAGAGCTTCTAATTTCTAAAATATCAGCCATTTATGCAATATGTGACAAAAGTTAATTATAATTAACTATAGTCCTATGATGACTTTTAATCTTATAACTTCAACTTCCAATCAGCCTCAAAATTGTAAAAAAAGTTGGTTCTTGTTGCATCAAGGAAACAAATCTACAGTTTGCATATCGGTTGATTTGTAAGATAATGCAAAACCCTCCCCAGAGCATCTATGTTCTAATATATCAACCAAAATATGCAACATATGATAGTCAGTAGTTGTCTAGTAAGTAAATTTTGATCTAACGACCAATTGAGATCATAAAATTTTACTTTCAAGCAGGCAAAGCATTGAAAATGGGAGAAAAAAGTGACACTTCAATTGTTGCACCAAATCCTATCAAGAAAATAGGTTCTTACTGATATCCATTTCTTTCGAGATTAAGTTACATAATTTATGTTCTTTGCATCAACTACCGCCTAAAGAAAACTTTGAGTACTAATAGATGTGTAGATGATAAAACATTAAACCAGCTTCTAGATTTTCAAAGTTGTACCTTGGCATAAATTGAATACATATAAAATAATTTCAAACCTTCTCAATCTGGTATACTTGTTCGGTATCCATTCCATATTGTTCATTTGCATATAGGAACCTTTCTACATATCAGCTAGTTGAAGTGAAGAAGAGTGTGAATTTGAAAGAAAAACATGAATTTATAACAAATGAGGAATCTTATAAAGATAATATATTTTAAAATATAACACAAAAGTAGCAAATGGTATCATGAATACATCCAATTATATTTAATAGCAGAACTCAACTATCCGTAGCTCAAAATTTATAAGACTTCCTTTGTAAATAATATATTCTCATATGGTACTTTAGATGATTAACAACGTAAAGAGCAGAAGAACGGTTTTTCATGTCCACATGGATTTTGAAAATGTAGTAACAATCAAAATTATAAATAGCATATTTGAAGGATGTATGACAGTAGCAGGAGGCAGAAATTTAGTCAGTTGACCTTGTATTCCTTAGCTTAGAAGATACACTTTCAACGAAAGGTACACAAATTGGGCAAGCCATTACAAAGGTGTTCAAGCTTTCTTAGTATTTTATCGCCTTTTTTATTCTTCATACATAAGTACGCAGTTGCCCAGCCTTATTACCAACTTCCATAAAAATTATAAAAGCGAGATTAGCAGAAACATCACAGCACCACTGATAATTAGAAGGAGCTCCAGACATAAGGTTGTTCAAAGTACTTTCAACCACACACATCAATAATCTACCCCTTCCGTAAACAAGGAATATATAGCAAAACAGGATTCTACTTTTCAAAACACCAATAGAACAGAAGGCTTAAAAATAGCTTGCAATCAGAATTGTAGTGTCTCCATTTGCAATTATACCTTGCCATTGCCAAAGGCTCCTTTAATGATGGGACTTTTTTTTTTTTAACGTGATCACACAACACCATCTGAGATTTTTAAAGAAGAGTGTTATGAACATACCATCAAAAGCAAGGTTTTTGTGTATGCTACATTTTTCTACCAACTACTCCAAAATTCAAACATAGCATTAAAGAGCTTAGAAGGAATTTCTCTTGTAGATAACAACTCTTGGTTAAATTGCTCGACGTCTATAGAATAATTTCCAAAAAAAGAAAAAGAAAAAAAAAGAAATTCGAGATAAAAATGTAATATAAGTTAAAACACAAAGTATGGAACAGTAGTAACATTTATAAATAAGCAGAGAATATGTATATATTTATTTGTTTTTCCAAACTTCTTCAACTTTTTCTTGTATTTGATTGTTTTATTTTATGTTTATGATTGGTGAATGGAGAAAATGAGAAAAAATTCATTTCAGAAGTTGACAAAATATTACATGAAATCAACTTTTATATGCAACAATTTTCACAACATTCTTGCTCCAAATTATAAGTGTACAATAATATTAACAGGTAATTGAAATATGGTGATATCATCAAGCTAGTACAAAGTTTACACCATTGAACAGAACATAGGGAGAGAGAGAAATATTGCTGCTTGATATTAAAAGCACATTGATGCAATCATAAATAAATGGCCGCAACCTTGTAAAATGAGACTCGCTGGCAGTCATCAACCACAAATGTGCTTGATAAAAAAAAACATAAATTTTTAGCAAAAGTGGGTGCACACTATATATCATTTAGTTATAGATACTTTAATAAATAGTTAAAAGAAAGGAATGAATAAGTAGTGAAAGTAAAACAAAATGAAACAAGCTGAAATGATAGAACATCTGAGAGAGAGAGGGAGCGTCCTCTTTACATTATCGCACTTGATAGATTTTGAAATATTTAACATGGAAGTCCCACCAGGTAGAACAATCTCCCTACCTTGATCATTGTAAATCTCAATCAAACGTGAATCCCCTTTACAATACTTCAAACTCAGATCTAAGGATACATCAACTTGTAGAGGATATTGGAAGAAATTGGGATATGAAATTTTGATTCCAAGGATATTGGTTAATGGGGATCATATTCTATGACTACAAACAATTCATTGAAATTTAGCTTGTAATAGATAGTTATAATGTGAGGGTTACAATATTATTAACTGGTTTTGGTAATATATCGCAAGCAGCATATCTCTGGTGATCATTACTTTCTAATGATGGCAAATTGAGCTTGCTAATAATCTTATATATATATATATATA